CAGTGCAGCCTGATCCTTGGGCTTGAAACACAGGACAAGATCCAAGTATCTGCAAACGTAACACTGGGAAGTTAGCTGAAATGTGTCACAAAGAAACTGTCCCCAGCAGAGTGGGTGACTGACTATAAGTTTGTATCAATACCTTGACATAGAAGTGAATTCCTTCTTTCAAAGAATCTTCAGCATGAAGCCAGTCTTCTTGATTTTTACCTGTTAAGTAACCAGTAAATGCGATACGTTTTTATTGGGATTGAAAAGCATCATGAGATTTCGTGTCACGTGGGAGAAGCAGACACTGCTTTGAAAAGGAAATCAATGCCTTAAATCAAATATAGTTTGCAAGGAAAGACAAACATCACGCAGACAAAAATATGAGCCCAAATATCATCTGGGAGGCACGAATTCGAATTCCGTCGAGGACTGAATTTTTTCAGGCTTCATTTTCGGCAATTGCTGTGATTTCGGCCCACTTGTGAGGATCATTTCTTTGTTAAATTAAATTAAATTAAAAGAAAAAGAAGAAAAAACCAACAAACAAACAAAAACGTAAGGAGCAACTCAAGTGGAGACAAAACAAAACAAACTCGTGCATACAAAAATTAGGCAAATTTTAGCTTCACTGTATCTTTACATTTGGAATTTCTTCATATCTGCGCTAACCGACACTTGTAATTCTTAGCCCTAATACATAATTCACTCAGGCAATGGTGAACAATAATTCACCGAAGGGGAGGTAGATATCCAACACTTTTACCGGAACTGAGTAGTTCATTGAGAATTTATCACAAAAGAACCAACAAACTCGTTCAGTTATTTTTTGTCGATATATACAATGGTCGGAAATTTTAAAACTTTTGGGGCGCCATTTTGTCTCTGCCTTGAGGTGGACACTATTTGAAAATCACTTTCGAACGGGCCAATCAATGCGCGCAAAAAGCACCCTTCACCAGCGTGATATGTACTATAACTAATAATGAAGCTGATGTTGAACGCTCCTAGCGTTACTAATACAACAATATATACGCCAGAATACGTTTACGTAGGTGAGAAAAGATCGAAAAAATACCAAAACAAGCGATGATGCGTTAAAATCAATTCGTGAATAACCATTTTAAGCTACATTTTCCATCCTAGCTAAAACGTATCTGATGATTGATCTAGGTTGGAAGAAAGCTTTCTTTCGAAGAATATTAAACCTTCATGTTTCGTCGCGTGTGAACAGTGGACAATATGGATGGCTGTATTCAATGTAAGTGTTGAGTGTTTATGCGAAGGTTTATGCGTATTACTGCGATCTTGGCATTGCAGAAACAGCCTTGTAACCTTGGTTAATCGGTGTGTTATAGATTCTGAACTCTTGACATTTGACAGAGTGAGTAAAACTCGGTTTTTGGACGCGACATTGATGCCCACGACATAATTTCGTTTTGTCCTGTTTTCTGGGATAATATCAAGCAACGAACCTTCCAAAGAACAAATATTCCTCTTGTAGATCGATGTTATAAACCAAAATACAAACAGAACAAAACAAAACAAAACACGATTAAACAAAACAAAACACAACAAAACAAAGTGGGAAAAAACAGCATAAAAATTAAAAGGACAGATTAAAAAAATGTCAAGACTGTCGTCGTATCCAAGAAGAACATTGGTTCAAGACGTACTTTCCGTTGGTAGTAAAAATATAATCCATTCTATTTTTCGCTTTTATTTCACCGGAGTTGTCTAGAAAATTGCGCGAAAAATCTGTGTAATTGAAATCGCTCTGGTGTGACAATTGTGCATGACCACTGAAAATGAACTAATAAACACGTTATCTTTAATTTAAGTTTTCAAACGAATGCAAGAAGGTTCGATGACGTACATGCTTCAGCGAACAAGTCACATCGAAGTGACGCTTGCGAATCGAATGTGCAATTAGAAATATAATTAAAGAGATTTCATGATGACCATTACAATTTTTCAACCCGAAGAAGTGGTTTCAAATTTTCCATACTTAAATATATAACACGTCACGATACCGAATATAATAAACAAACCATAAGAGCATTAAAAGTAAAAACTTTAAAGTCATTACAGACTTATTCCGAGAAAAAAATCAAATCAAATTGTCCCGACCTGACTTGGAATAAGTACTCAGCCCAATTTATTCATGGCCCGGTTTTTTATCGTTCTAACTCGTATTCAAATTTTTCTTTTCGCTACATCGCTTGCATTGTCAAAATATTTCCGCCGATAAGCAATTCAGCGGCGCAGCTATAGGCACAAGCGAAGCAGAGGCGCTTTGAATTAGCCAAAAAAAGAATGCTATGCGTCTCTCTCGAAAGAGAAGAAATTTCAAAATTTCACCCAAATTATAAAATATCTTCTACAGGCTATCTTAATCAATTTCTTCCCGCACGAACGCTTAAGTTCACACATGCGACCGATCAGTACGTGTCTCCAACCGTAAACATCAAATTGACAAATTACGATTTATATCGCTAAATTTTGGTGATGTTCCTTTCGCTTTTCGAATCATACTTTCCTTTCACCTTAGGGCATCTTTTTTTCCCTATCCTTAAAAAAAGAATGAGCTTGTTTTATTCAGTGTGATCGTTGAAAACAAAGAAACGAACATTCGCTTTAAGGCAATCCTGAATTAAATATTTCTCTCCAGACTAAACCTTAACTCGATCATCAAACATATCTCATACCTTTGCTTTTCTCCCCCTCTGTTACCTTCGCGTACGGACTCGGCGAACCTGCACCAGAAAACGTTTTTCTTATAACTTGAGGGCTATGCTTTACCTTCGCGGCAACGGTCTTTAGAGAGTTCATTTTGCTTTTGAAAAGAATATCACGGACAGTCAAGTACAAACGAGCAAATTCCCCTGTGGGGGAGGGGGAGGGAGGAACTAGGGAATAACCTAACGATTTCCCGTTGGCACGGAAGACGTCTCATCAGTTTCAGATGGCAAATACGTTCTATTTTATGATAAAAATTGAGTTAAAGATAACATGAAATCCTCCTTCTCGTGGCTTTTAGGAGCTGGAACAACAGCAGCTTCTAAGTTCGGCTTTACTCTACGTAACTGTCCTCAGATGCACAGCAGGTTGGTCACGCAATCATCGCGTGCCAGCAATCCTACTCAGCACAACAGGAACATGCTGATTTCATGGCCAAGGTCTGAGACGGTTTAATGGCCAGAATACTATTTTTAGCAATTTGTGTTCCCTACGTGTTCGCCTCGGTACCGTGTATAGATAAACGATTTTTCTATTCATGGTGCGTGCTCTGCAGTCTATGACAGTGCTTCTGGCTATTCGCTGTAGAGTAGAGATTTCAGGTGATTAATGGAAACGCAAAATGCTGGAACTACACTATACTTCGCTTAAGTTAATCAACCTCTTCTCGTTCTACACCATATCAACCACTTAGAAATACAAAAGCAAACATCTTCAGACCGTGATGATTGATCAAATGGTTAAAACGCAAGTAGCAGATTTACTTCGTTTCTAGCAGGAGGTGGTTTATAACGCTAACGCAAGTTTAAGCAGGGTGCCGGATAAACCGTAAAAGTTTGCACGCGTTCGGCGGTTTTCCAATTACCGAAAACGTGTCACAGTTATGGTATTTTTGCGTGCTTTGCAGTTAAGAACTC